GCCCCTGGGATGCCTACTTCTTTTCCTTGGCTTCTAGGCCACTGCCGTCCCCCAACTTCCCTCCTGTTTGAAACACTGCATTGGCACAGTGTGAGTAGACAAGGAGCCAGCCAAAGAGTTGGAAATAGTGTGATCAATGATATGGAAAAGGGCCAAGAGAGTGTGATCTCATTGAAGCCAAGAGAAGAAAGGAGTTGTTCACTTCCTGCCGTGCTGCGGAGGGGTCTGGTAAGGTAAGAACAGGGAGTGGCACTGGGTTGGCAATAGGGAGGTCAAGGAAACGTGACATGAGTGGCCTCAGCGTAGCAGTGAAGACAGAGGCCTGCTTGGAGGGCTGGGGAGGAATGAGTCCTAGCAAGGAAAGGAGACAGGATCAAGGGAGGCTATGGTTTTTGTCTTTTTTAAGATGGAAGATTCTAGAGAATAGTTGCATCCTGGTGGATTTAATGGAGAGAGAGAGAGAGAGAGAGAGAGAGAGAGAGAGAGAGAGAGAGAGAGAGATTATACATGCAACTTCCTTGAAAGAGCAGCAGAAGAAAACTGGGATAATTCATCTATTTTAACAACAAGGCAAAGGACAGTGGTACAAATGGAGGGAGGTCTGGAGTTTGGTGTCTGGGTGAGGTTTGCGGAGCTGACTGCCCGTCTGAGATCGGGGTTCCCGAGTTTAGGATGAGGCTGGCTGAGGAACACAGAGACAGCGCATGGAAACTGAGTCCAGACCCGGTACCCGGCATGCACTCTGTACCAGCTGTTCCTCTTCTCCCCCGTAAGTATTTCTTTCTTGTTTGCTTATATGAGATTCACTCCAGTCAAAAAAGAAACAAGATCTGGGGTGAGATTGTTTTACAGACATTAAAAACCCATTAAATACAAACCATGTTTACAGTAAAGAAAGATTAAACTTAAAGTCGTGAAAATGTAGAGCCTGGGCCCAAGAACCTGACAGAACACGAAGAGGAGGCCAGCAGTTAAATGGCATTTTGTGAAGATGCGGTGCCATTAGTCTGCATCTGGATGTGGCTGCCCCAGAGCTGTGTGGCCTGTAATGTAAGCTCATGCATGGTTGGCCTGGGATGACGTACGGTGGGGTGGCGGGCAGACGGTGACATGGTTATACGGAATCTATACAATAGCTGCTGGCTCGGGTTCAAAGAGTAACAGAATCGATTAAGTAGTTTTTATATTAAAATGAGCTAAGAAAAGAGCTCAGGGAAGCTATTATTACATTGAAAATACCGGCATAAAAATTTGAGACTCAGAAAAGTCAATGGTCTACCCTTGAAATAAGAAGCAACACACTCCCCTATCACCCCATTTCCAGAAAGTTCTAGGATATCAAATAACATGCAGCTTTCACCCACCCATTGTGGTCTTCTGCCCTTCCCTCACTGGGAAAAAACGGGGACGAGGGGTATTCTTGGAACTTAGAATCAGGTGATCAAAATCAATTTTTTTTTCCATCTTATTGAAATGACCACAGAGCTTATGTCCTTTAATTTGTTGATATATTAGGGTACGGGTGGACCATCTCTTCACAATGTGGTAGAGTGTCCTGTCTGTAACTAGAAGTTAAACCTCAAAAAATAATACTATGCCCTAACTGGTTTGGCTCAGTGGATAGAGCATTGGTCTGCAGACTGAAAGGTCCCAGGTTCAGTTCTGGTCAAGGGCATGTACCTTGGTTGCGGACACGTCCCCGGTGGGGTGTGTGCAGGAAGCAGCTGAATCGATGTTTCTCTCTCATAGATGTTTCTAACTCTCTATCCCTCTCCCTTCCTCTCTGTAAAAAAAACAATAAAATATATCTTAAAAAAACAACAACACTGTGGCTTCCCAAAGGTATACACAGTAAGTATCCCTTTTCGAAGAGCTTTTTGGAAGTTAGCTGGCTCATGACCTTGATTTCTACCTTTCTTTCCCAGGCTGTCAAGGGAGCTCAGCGCCTCCATCTGAGAGATGTAAGGTCTCCCCCTCCTCTACTCAAGTTCACCAAGTCTCCACTTCCCTCCTGAGTGTCCCAAGGACTCTCTGACCTTGCCAACTACAAGGCAGCTCCCAGGCGCGGTCTTGGTTATATTCATGTTGTAAAGGCCTGTTGCTCTGACGTGTTAAAGGACTCAGGGTGTGGAGGTTTCCTCAGCCCCTGGCTGGTGAACCATTCTTTGCAGTCAAATAGGTTTCCGGGGACATGATTTTACTTTTGACCTTCGTGAACACTGATAATGAGTTTTGCTGTAACTGGAATCCTATGTTCAACGATAAGTCAAGGAATTAAACCCTTCTTATCATGTACGGAATGTTTCCAGCATTTCATTTATGTCACACGTTGCTAATAGAACAACCAAGTATGACAATTCAAGGTTTTCACTCACTTCTAACGGACCTGAACACTACCGAGTGTCTAAAAGGTCTAGACATATAGTGTATTTATTGTACCTTTTCAGAATAAAAATAGATGGGACCTATTGCTTTCAATGTACAGGTATTTCGCCTGAAAAAGTTTTCTGGGGGGAAAAAATATATCGTGACAGTATATTAATTTGAAAATGTAACAAATAAATGAAGCTAATAAGCCCTGTGAATGTCATGGAGGCAGTAAAAAGATCCTAGAAAGAGCCTCTTCTCATTTTGTGTGTGGGGGGGTGTGCAGGTAGTGGGGAGAGAGGGCAAACTATGGATGAAGAAGGACCCAAGGCCCTCACCTGACAGCAAGTCCTCATGACCAGCAGGCATCAGAAACAGCTGCATAAAACCCACCATTGTCCTCAGGGTGGGCACGGCACTGGGATGCTTGGTAATACATCACAGTGTCCCCTTTGTGAGGGCCCGCAAAAATATCCCCTGTGCCTCAGGGCCGGGCAGTCATTCCTCCTGCACAACTGGTACGTTCTCACCCTGTAGCCATAAGAACTTTCCCGCTCATTTCTCTCTCCCTCTCTCTCTCTCTTAGCCCTCAGGGCAGGAAAAGCCAGTTTGGTGTCTATCTCTAGCTTTGGGGGCTTTATTCTTCAACTATTCCACTTTTTTTTTTTTTTTTTAATCTTCCCTGATTCCTTCAGTCCATACTACTGTGCTCTGCTAGTGATCTACACGTCCTTCTGAAATAAGGCAGAATAGCATCACCTTAAACTATAGACTGGGACCATTCAGAACTAAACATGCTAGGTTTTAAGTATTTTCATTCTCCTTGTTTTGGAACCAGCTCTAAAACTTCACGCCGTAGTTTGGATATAAATGTGTCGTTCATTTACATCAGGACTAGAGGACCAAAAATGTAGTTGGATTCCTCAGAGTTAAGAATTTAATTTTTTTTTTTAGGCAAATTACTTAACCTACAAAAGCCTCCATTTCTGCATCTGTTAAATGGGGTAATAACTACATCATAGAATGGTTATAGATTAATAATACTGTATATAAAGTACAACCAATGGACATAAAACTATGGGGAGGGAGGGGATATGGGGGAGGGAGGGGGGCAAAAAATCATTAAAATATGTAAAAATAAATAAATAAATTAATTAAAAAAAATAATACTATATATAAACCTTACAATAATACTGTATATAACCCTACTAATACTGTATATAAACCTATTAATAATACTGTATATAAACCTGAGACAGTCCTCAGTAGTAAGCACTAAATGGTACCTATCACCAGGTTTAATTACAAAAGATTATTAAATCCATATATTCTAAACCTGGGGTCTGCAGATCCTTGTTCATGGAGAAATTGTGGGGGTTGGGGAGAAGGGAGAGAATTCCTAAAACTAGACAGGAAAAAGGCTTACACCTCCATTTTCACTAACTCCTAACCGAAGTTTAGTATTTCCTTCTTTAGGAATGCTGGGGACATCACAGCAGTATTATAAGGACCTGTCACTTTGCCCCAGTAAAAGTCACAGATATATTCCTATTTCTGATGTTTCAGATATCTCAAAATATCTTACCACCTTTTGAAATTCTAGTACTTAGACCTACTGCTAGACCTTGTGAATACAATGATTAAAAAAACAATACTATGTTACCCATATATGGCTTTTTTAGTTCACTATAATTGGTTTCCTTTGTAACCCTAGATGTTTTATTTTATGCACTTACTTTAAAGCATATTCTGAGAAGGGGTCCAGAGGCTTCAAGTACAAGACAGTTATGGCATTAAAAAAAAAAAAAAAAAAAAAAAAAAGTTAAGAATCCCTCCATGATAGTCTATCTCTTAGCTTCCAGAAAGCCAAACCCTGGAGCCCCCTTGAGGCCCGCTGTGGTGAGCCCATTCCCAAAGTTTCGGTTTGTTTTTCTGGGTGTAGCTTGATCCCCTCTCTGGTACCTGTCTCTCCATCAGTTAACCTTTTGGGGGAGTTCACCTTCACTTTCTATAAGGCGCCTATCCTGTTTAAGGTTCTGTGTTCAAATCGACAGGCTGGTTTTCTGGTATGTTCCCTTGGCACATCCTGACCCCTGGGAGCTTTGCTAGATTTGCAAATTCTCGGGTCACACCCTGACCTCCTGAAACGGGGATGCACGCAGGAGTTTGAAAGCCACCGCGCTAGGGAATGGGGCCTCGAACCTCAGTGGGACTTATGGGGATTCAGCAACGCGGGGAGGAGGAGAGGCTGGAATTTCGATGCTGGAGATGCAAAGGGGCGGCCATCGAGTCAAAAGGAGGAAGGCTAAGGGCTTGTGCTCCAGCCCCCCAATTCTATTAACATTACCCCGGCCTCTAGGAGAGTATCCCCCAGCGCTGACCTCTCGGTGCCACCCCTGCACGGCGAGGGGAGCCTGCGAGCGCGCAGAGAGGATACCTTTGCACCCACCTGGACCGTCTTGGTCCAGGGGTCAGCGCTGGGCCGCGAACTCCCTACTGGGAATTGCGGTTCCGGAAGCCCACCGGCCCCAGGCTTCCCGAGCGCTTGTTGCCGATGGGAAACTACAAGTCCCAGAATTCCCGGCGCGGGCGAGCACGTGGGCGGGGCGGCGGGCTCCGCTAAATAGTCTCCATCGGCCATTTTGTCGGAGAAGCCGCAGCGCCGCCTCCTCTGTCGTGTCCTCGCCTCCGGCGCCGCCACCGCCTCTTCCCCCGCCTCCTCCCGCTTCCGCCGCCGCAGCCGCTCCTGCCGCATCCCAGCCCCGGGGCGAAGCATCTCTTTCATTCTCCCGTTTTCTCGCCACTGCAGCCTCTTGACACGGTGATCCGGGCGGGCCCCGCAGGAATTTTATCCCCTCACCGGCCTCACATTAGTATCGCATGTCCACTATCCAGAACCTCCAATCTTTCGGTAAGCTCCGCCGGCCGCCGGCCCCGCCGCCCCTGCCCCAGGCCCCCTCCCCGCCCTCCGGGACCCCGAGCGGGGCTTTGTCTCGGCGCCCAGAAAATGGCGACGGGTCCCCCGGCGACCCCTCCCCGAGCCGACCGGCCCCCCAGCCCTGCTCCCCGGGCCCCCGGCGCGGCCCCCGACATCCCCGCGGTCCGCCGGCGGCCCCTCGCCTGGCCCCGCCGCTCGCCCAGGCGATGCCGGGCTCGGGGATCGGCATCCCTTCGGGGTCGTCGGAGCCGCGGGGGAGCAGGTGTCGGGGGGCGGGGACAGACATTGAGTGAAAGATGCGGAGACAGACCTTGGAGGGGCCACGGGGTCCCCCTTTTCTCCGCTGGGCTAGTCATCTGTCAAATGACGCCCCTTGATCTGCACACACACACAAACACAGACACACACGTGTGTGTACATGCATTCGTGTTTTTTTGTTGTTCCTTTTTGCACGGCACCCATCCGCTGCAGTGATTGGGGGGTTTGAATGTGCCTGTGGTCACCAGGATGTCATCGAGGTGACGCACACTTTTATAGCGGCCGCACGACGAGGTCTCCGCGTTGCTCGGCTCCGCAGCGGGCCGCGCTCAGCGGTACTGTTATCTGCCGAGACCGAGGCTGTTCTGCCCGGACGTCCGCGGACGTGCCCGTGTACAGTGCTCTCCTTTTGTGGGAGCACCTTGGAGGTTTTAGTGATCCCCATCCCCCCCATCCCCACCCGCGAAAAGAGCAGAGGCGCTAGAACCTTCTTGGCTGGCTGTCTCATAAACTGCCGTCTACCGTATACCTGGAAATGAGCTACGAAACGGTATTTTTCTGCTTTTGATGGGTTGCTGTCTCCCTTTGCAGACCCCTTTGCTGATGCAACTAAGGGCGACGACTTACTCCCGGCAGGGACTGAGGATTACATTCATATAAGAATCCAGCAACGCAACGGCAGGAAGACGCTGACCACTGTTCAGGGCATCGCAGATGATTATGACAAAAAGAAACTTGTGAAAGCTTTCAAAAAGGTAAAGGCGTCAGAAGGGGGAGCTTAAAAAGGGGGTTGCTGAGGCGCACCTCTCCGCATCGGATGATTGCTCACACCTTACCGGTGTGGGGGGGAACACGATTGGGTCCGGGAAAGCCGTGTTCCTTCTCTCACTTTTAACAATCAGCTGTTGGTGTCTGGTCTCCCTTCTTATAACAAGATTTTCGCGGCCCTCCAGCAACACGTGAAATAATTTAGTTCTTGATTGGTCCACGTAAACATAATTGCCGTAGAACATGACCTTCTGGTTCATTTCACATTTCCGTGGGAGTGTTGGGGATTGCTGGAGACAAACGTGTTTCATAGCCGTAGTCAAGGCTAAGGAGTAGTTAATTGTAGTCTTTTGGTGAAAAGAAAACCTCCTTGTATTTGACTCAGTTCTGTTGAACATTTGCATACTTCTCCAGAAATTTGCCTGTAATGGTACTGTGATCGAACATCCCGAATACGGAGAGGTTATTCAGCTTCAAGGTGACCAAAGAAAAAACATTTGCCAGTTTCTCTTGGAGGTGAGTGACCGGGTGCTGTGTGTCCATCCTTGAGATTGCTTTGTCATTAGAAGGGCTGGATCATGCCTGCTGCTACACAGGGTGTTTTTGGTTTGTTTGTTTTTTTTGTTTTGTTTTTTTTTGGCATGTCAAGGTATTCAAATGTGAGTGGAACTGTTTGTTGTTAACATTTGGTGCCACCAAAAAAAGAAAAAAAAATGTGATAAGCTATTAGCAATGCTTCTTCTTAATGGCTGCTCCATGTTTTCTTAGGGCTGCATTTATATATTCCTTAGAGTGATTCTGCTAAATTAAGTTTTATTTTGCAGGTTGGCATTGTCAAGGAGGAACAGCTTAAGGTTCATGGATTCTAAAATGAACCTAAATACATGGAGAATTTCTTGAATTTTATTCTCTAAATCCAGTTTGGCTGCCTTGTGAAATGATTCTCTGCAGTAAACGGACTTTTCATTTATTTAATCATTCAAACTTCCATTCACATCTGCATGATTACAGAAAACATGGGGTATGTAGGCTAGAAACACATAAGAAAATTGCAGTAAGATGGTAACGAAACCCCATATTCATCTTAACATGTTTCCAATGGAAAATATTTTGTTTTGAGTGTTTATTTGTTTATTGTTCAGTTTATTACTTTTCACTTGATTAAATGTTTTTTGTTGTATTAAACCATGTATGTTGCAGCTTAACAATAAAATCTATGTATTCTTCTGTGAGCAGTTAGGGTCTCAGATCTAAACAAGATGCACATATGTTTTGTCTTTCATAATTGGTGTTCTCATTCTGTAAGTATTCTTTCTAATTAGCTTGAGCTTCTGTTAAAATCAAAGTTAGAAGATAACATTTGTTAGATGTACCTTGTGTTCATTTACTGACTTAAAAATAAGAATAGAAACAAGGAGTATAAACTCAGCCAGGGGAAAGAATCTGCCAGAATATAGTGTTAAATTTAAAAAAATAATGTGAAGTAGCCCTGGGCTGGATGGCTCAGTTGATTGGAGCATGTCCCTACACCAAAAAGTTGTGGGTTCGAGATTAATAAGGATTAAAAAAAACATCAATCAGTTTTCTTTTTTGTAGGAGCACAGAAAGAAAACAACTGATTAACAAGGATTAAAAATTAACATGGATTAAAAAAAATCAATTAAATCAATTTAATCCCTGATTAACATGGATTAAAAATTAATAAGGATTAAGCCAAAACCGGTTGGTCTGCAGACTGAAAGGTCCCAGGTTTGATTCTGGTCAAGGGCATGTACATTGGTTGCGGGCACATCCCCAGTAGGGGGTGTGCAGGAGGCAGCTGGTCGATGTTTCTCGCTCATCTATGTTTCTAGCTCTCTATCCCTCTCCCTTCCTCTCTGTGGAAAATCAAAATATATTATTTTTTTAAAAAAGTTAAAAAGGATTTAAAAAAACATCAATCAGTTGCCTCCCATACGTATACCTAGGTTTTTTTCCTTCTCTCTGTAAAAACATATCCTTGGGTGAGGATTAAAAAAAAAAAATATGTGAAGTATAATTTAAATTTAGGTATTGGCACATAGAATTCTTTTATATGTTTTTTATTGGTTATGTTACTGCACTGCCACTGTAAGTATCCCCAAGTGCCAGGTAATATAGTAGGCTTATGACATAATAAGTGCAGCCACAGGCACTGCCTTGCAAGTTTGGGTGATAGTGTTACCACCTTAGAGCTGGAAGACACTGGGGTTCAGGTTAACTTCCCTTGAGTGCCAGAAAGTGACAGCGTTGGAATGCCAGCCCGGGGCTTCCAGCCAGAAAAGCCATATTTCACCGCATCATGGTTTTGGTGTGTTTCACCAAAGGAAGTGAAAGCCACCATTTGGGCTCCAGGTAAGGAAATGGGTAGCTACACCTCATGAAAAACCAACCTCATTAGGTCACCCACACAGACCTGTTTGATTGGCCCTGGGAGGATCTGCTGTGCCAAGCCAGGCTTCCATGTGGGAAGACATGAGGGAGGCATGGCTCTGCTGTGGCTAAAACCAAGGAAATTTCACTTCCAGAGAACTGCTCCCAACTGCCCTCACCTGACATGCAGGCGATAGCCAGGCCACATTGTGCTTGTCTGGGACCAAGAGAATCAATTAAATGAGCAAAACCATGTCGGGCCCTCAGCATTGACAGCTCCTTTCTCACAGCGATGCCAACATTTAACGCCCTTTTTATTTGGATACCGGGAGCTTGGAAAAAGAAGTCATATGTTGGAGTAATGGTTGTTTTTCTTTATTCCTGGAACACCATTCAGGGTGGAGTTAGTGCAGTAGAGGAGGGATGCCAAACTGGGCACTGCTGTGCTGGGTGACATGGCCTGTGGGGGTTCTCTATGGAGAAGTTAAGTGGCAACTGAACCTCTGCATTGGCCATGTGCCACTGTGGGTCTGTTTTCTCACCTGTTAGCTCTCAAGTCTGGTTTTGAACGGAGCAGGAGGAACTGGATCTGCTGTGTCTGTATCTGTTTTCCCAAAGAACTAAGGGCCTTATTGTTCTATCGTAAATCAGAGGACGCCTTACTCAGTAAGCCAAATTAATTTGGAGTCTTTTATTATTATGCTAGTACTAGCGGGCTCAGAGTAAAGTGTCTCTGTTAAATTCTGGGCCCCAAATAGAGGAAATCTTTCCTACTTAATACTTTTTTCAGTCCTTTGTCTTCCAAATTTGGAATGAGACTTCCAGATCTTCTGAGAAGTCCTGTGTGCTGGGAAGGGGCCCTGAGACCACATCTCAAGGCCTGGCCTGGTGCCAGCACTGACATCTCTGTCTGGGACATAGTTTATGGCCTCTCTGGAATGGGAGTAGTCTTATTTTCCCCCTATTACTTAAGCTTTACAGAAGCCAGAATAGCAGGGTTAAAATTTTAAGCAGTTTTTATCCAAGCTGGAGGTTGCTGTGCTTCATTATCTGAATCTCGGCAGTGCCTTCATCTCAAACTTCATGCACAACCTACAGACTTTCTTATGCAAAAAGCAGTTACTTAGAGATAGGCCCCATTCATTCAAGGCACAAAGTTCAAAGCCAGAATCCCCTGCAGGGAATCTAAGTGACCTGGCTGTGAGCCTGGGTTTGTCTCCAGGTGCCCCTCACCCTCTCTTATCAGGACCCCCAAGACCCTGCTCCTGAGTCCATTGAGCAAGAAACAGCATGCAGTCTGGAGAGCAGAGAGAGAATCAGACAGTACTTTAACCCATGTCAGCCAGGACAAGTTCGGGGGGGTGGGGGGGCATCCACAAGTCCACTCGGAGTGCTTTATTGCCATGGACTTGTTAGGTTAGACCGTGGGAACTACTCGCAACTTATTTGATACACCAAGATTGTTGAAATGAAACAGCATCAGGTATCCAAGAAATGATAAGTTGAAAGGGGGCAGGGGGTGGTTAGGCAAGTATGTAGTCCTTTCACTCCCTCTTGTGGCCATTTGAAAAACTAGCTAGTTCCTGGTAGTTGTGGTGAATTATGGGAGGTTTAAATCGTTACAGGCAATTGAAGCACCTGCTGGCAGGTTTAATTTTGTCATCTCTCACATGTTATGCAGAAATTGATCTAGCCAACCCTTTATTCTTGAAATCCATAAAAATCTATTTGCTTTTACCTGGGAGAGACCAAAAAATGCTTTAACAGTCTTACCCTGGGGATATGTAATACCACTTCCCCTTATCTACCACAATGTTGTTAGGAGGAATTTAATTGAAATGTAAATACAGGCATCTGTTTATGGCCTCCAGAGACCAGGTGATTAAGTAGAAGACAATCAGGGCTCCTCCTAAATTGTCACAGGCTGAGGAACACTATCTGGAATTGCTAAATATATGGTGTGGTGGTTTCAATGTAAACCTCCTCTTAGACCAGCAAACGGGCCTTTTGGCCTGCTGGGAACACATCCACTGAGTGAGTCACTTGAAGACCAGCAACTTTTCTTTGGGAAAAGTAGTAACTAAACTCCTTTAAAGACCCTAAGTCCACAGTCCAGGCACACCTCAGAGATACTGTTTCCAGACTAGCACAGTAAAGCAAGTCATGAAATAAATATATATATATATATATATATATATATATATATATATCCTGTTTCCCTGAAAATAAGACAGTGTCTTATATTAATTTTTTTTCCCAAAGTTGCGCTAGGACTTATTTTCAGGGGATGTCTTATCTTTCCATGTGCTAGGTCTTATTTTCGGAGGATGTCTTATTTTCAGGGAAACCCAGTACACACACACACATATGTGTGTGTGTGTGTGTGTGTGTGTGTGTGTGTGTGTATGTACTGGGTTTCCTTGAAAATATTTATTTTATTTTATTTTATTTTATTTTATTTATTTTACTAGAGGCCCGGTGCACAGATTCATGCACTGGTGGGGTCCCTTGGCCTGGCCTGCACCCTCTCGCAATCTGAAACCCCTCGGGGGATGTGGGACTGCTGGTTTCAGCCCGATCCCTGCAGGCCAGGCCTCTAGTATGCATATGTGTTCTTTGGTTAATCTCTTCCTGCCCCCACCTCCCCCCTTTCCTCTGAGATTCATCAGTCTGTTCCATGTTTCCATGACTGTGCATTGAGCACATGCCCCCTGGTAATCAGTCCTCGTCATAGCTAATGGTCAAACAGTTGCTTAGGCATATATACCATGTTTCCCCGAAAATAAGACATCCTCTGAAAATAAGTCCTAGTGCATGGAAAGATAAGACATCCCTGTCTTATTTTCGGGGAAACAGGGTGTGTGTGTGTGTGTGTGTGTGTGTGTGTGTGTATGTATATATATATATATATATATATATATATATATATATATATATATATAGTATATATATATGGAGAGCAAGGGAGAGGGAGAGAGATAGAAACATCAATAATGAGAGAGAATCACTGATCAGCTGCCTCCTGCACACCCCCATGAAGGATTGAGCCCACAACCCAAGCATGTGCTCTTGACAGGAATCGGACCCGGGACTCTTCAGTCTGCAGGCCAACATATCCACTGAGCCAAACTGGCTAGAGCGAGCCATGATCTTTTTGCTGGTGGAGAGTCTTGCCTTCAATTTGTAAAAAACAAAACAAAACACCACAATGTCTGAGAAGCACAGTACAATGAGGCGTGCCTGTACAGGGAACCATTCTGTTAGTTCTCGGGAACCTACAATGGGGCTCAGAAAGCTGGTCATTATCACACACTCACCTGGAGAGCCTCTGGCAGATATCACCTTTATAAGCAGGGAGGCCTCCTGAGAGTCCATGGTAACCCAGAAATTGTCCTTGAGGGATTTGATTCCACCTGAGTCAATGTCAGCATCCCAAGATGGGACCCTGTGCATCCCTGACGTGGGAAATGGCCAAGATCCATTGGGAGGTGTTTCTTCAGAAAATTTGCTCTCTAACAACAGATTCTTTGACCCTGCCCACATTTCTCCCCCTCACCGTCCCTCATCTCTCACTCCCTTGCAATGAAGTGAAAATGGCTAGCTCTTTTGAATACCTGGAGCGCTGAGTGCTCTGCATGTGTCAGCCTGTGTGATTCTCAGACTTTGTGACCCAGCACAGATTCCCTGGTTTCCCATTGTGGCCACCCCGCCCCTTCCATGGCTAACAAATGAGCCTATGTTTTGTTTTCTTCAGAAAACTTACTTTACACAAAATTACCTTTGTTATGGCTGGTTGACTTTCCATCTCCCCACCCCCACTAACATGTGAGTACACAGAGAC